GCCCCTACCACTCACTCTCATTACAGTAACCCATCTTCCTACCTGATAATCCTGATTAGCCCCTCTGCCCTCCACATCAATCACATTAGCTACCTACACAGAGAGCAGAAGACCCCTTTTAAGGTTGTCGGTTCTGCCCAGTGTTGCAACTTGCTCTTCCAGATCTCTAACTTGAGTTTCCAGAAGGGCAGCCCACTCACATCTGCGGTATCCATCTTGGAGCTGTTGCTCCCTTGTTGCATACATGTGGCACACTGTGCACTGCACAAAACCTTCAACCCTGCTAGCACACATTATCCCAGTTACAATATTAATAGAAAATATCAGTTGTCACTTACAGATTAGTAGACTCCTGTTATAATATCCTGTTTTCAACTCCGGTTTTTTAACTCCACTTACCAAATGTCCACTTATGCCCCGTACACACTATAAGAAAATCGGACAAACGATCGTCCGGTTATCATTGATTGTACGCTGCTGGTCAAAAATGATGTGCTTTTATGCATGAGAATATTGTACGCTATAAAGACATTGCGTACGAACGCCGTAGCGTAGCTGTGGAAATGATTAATGTACGTGTTCCCCTGTAGCCACACCTTTCGGTGCCATTTTTGTTTTCCCTCAGCGACGGATCTTTCGTGACGAATTTTCGGAATAGTCATGGATACCGTATCCGAATGTTCTGAAGATACTGCAATTGTCATTATGGGTTTTGGAATTTTGGCCATACAAAGGCAACAGAGGAAAAAGACAAAAAGTGGTTATTTTTGTATCATGGTACATAGTGAATTGTAAAGTTATTGTTGAAAACATATAATTTTTATTTGTGGTTTTATTTTTACAACAACTTGCAAACGCACACATTCATTGTGATGCAGTGACATATGTAATGTTTGTTTTTTTGGGGGTTGGGTGAAGAAAACTGTTTAATGACATTATTGACATTAATGGCTGTAATGCTACGAGTATTCCATGGTGTTTATTTTCTTCAGGTTCTTCCGGGTCATAAGCAGCTTCCGATTATGCGCGGTCTTTCGTATCCAATTCTTCTCATACGAAAACTGTACACATTAAACGAAAATCACTTGTTCTGTTCCCAAACGACAAAAATTTTGATGTTTGCACTATTGTTAATTTTCATTTGTAAGATCAGAATCGACTGTCGAAAATGATATACACACCGTCAGAAAATTGCACGATTGCTCGTCGGATGAATACGTTCGTCCGATTTTCTTATAGTGTGTATGGGGCATTAGTCAAAGGTCCAGCAAGCAAAATACAGGCATCCTCAGAGTGAGCTCTACAGCAAGTTATATACTACCTGTATCACCTCTGACCAATTATCCCCTCCCCTTAATTAGCAGACTGAAGGAAGATTAGGAAAGGAAGGAAAAAAATGCTGTTTAAAAAGTGACAGAAAAAAATTGATTTAAAAAAGTAAAAGCTTTTAGCAAGACTCAAAGAAGAAAATAAAACAACTACAAGCACCAGCAATCACCAGTAGTCAAAAGTAAAACTTTTTCACTCTCCAATTCCCACTCTTTTTAGCTATCAGCCAGCAAAAAATGTTAGGCTGTGCCACCAGAATAAATTAAAACAAAACAATCCAAATGAATTTGAAGTGCAGACTCATTTTTCAGGGGCTCAAATGTAATTGGAAAAATAAATATAATTATAAATAAAATGTTCATTTTTAATATTTTGTTGAGAAGTCTTTACTGGCAATGACTGCCTGAAGTCTGGAACCCATGGACATTACCAAAGACTGAGTTTCCTCCTTTCTGATACTTTGCCAGGCTCTAACTGCAGCTGTCTTCAGTTGTTCTTTGTTTGTGGGTCTTTTTGCCTTTAGTTTTGCCTTCAGCAAGTGAAATGCATGCTCAGTTGGTTTGAGATCAGGTGATTGACTCGGCCATTACAGAATATTCTACTTCTTTTCCTTCAAAAGCTCCTGAGTTGCTTTTGCAGTGTGTTTTGGATCATTGTCCATCTGTACTGTGAAGCGCCATCCAATCAACTTTGCTGCATTTGGCTGAATCTGTGCTGACAGTATATCTCTAAACACTTCAGAATTCATCCGGCTGCTTCTGTCTTCTGTCACATCATCAATAAACACCAATGACCCAGTGCCACTGGAAGCCATGCATGCCCATGCCATCACACTACCTCCATGTTTTACAGATGATGTTGTGTGCTTTGGATCATGAGCTCTTCCAAGCCTTCTCCACATTTTTTCTTCCCCTTATTCTGGTACAGGTTAATCTTAGTTTCATTCGTCCAAAGAATGCTTTTCCAGAACTGGTCTGGCTTTTTTTAGATGTTTTTGGCAAAGTCTAATCTGGCTTTTCTATTCTTCAGGCTCATGAATGGTTTGCACCTTGTGGTGAACCCTCTGTATTTGCTCTCGTGAAGTCTTCTCTTGATTGTAGACTTTGACAATGATACTCCCACCTCCTGGAGAGTGTTCTTCACTTGTCTGGATGTTGTGACTGGGTTTTTCTTTACCATAGAGAGGATCCTGCAATCATCCACCACTTATCATCAACATAATATCTTTCATTCAGCATTCTTGTTTCTAGCTACATCTGCAAACTTGGAGGAGCACATTAGTTTGTCCAGCAGAAGATCAGCCCTACATGCGCAGCATTTTTCATAATTGGAACACCTTCAGGAGGGTAGAAGAACTTGTGTAATGGAAATGAAAATTGTACAAATTTGAAGATGAGTAATCATGCCCTCTAGGCAATCAGGAATTATCTCTGGATCTTTTGTTTAAAGATATGTGAGAAGGGTTTCAAGCAGATAGGATGCAGCAATTAGAGGCTCTATTTTGGTTCTGAGGGAAAAACTATACAGCCAGACCCACACTCATACCAAACAGAAGTGCAAGGTTCTCTTTTGTGAAGAGTATGTATCATGCAACTCAGAAAGAGTTGGATCTCAGAAAAAAAGACAAGTGAGGCTTGCATGGAACATTTATATGCAAACCAGAACAGGCATATAAGGAAAACCTTGGAAAGAGCTTCCTGCAACAGCAGCTTGACATGTCCATTCTGCTGACAGGCTTTAAATAGGGCAGCCTGCCTTATTAGAGCTGGCTTCCCCCATCTTCTTGGGCCGCTGTAGCCAGGCAGCCTTTACCATCCACAAGTTAGCTGCCATGGCTCTAAGCCTATCCAGCATAACAACCTCACAGGTAGAAGGGGCCACAACCTGGAAGAAATGTGTACTCCAGAAATCAGGCAGAGAGGCAGATTAAGAGGAGGAGCCAGGAACTAGATGGTGAAAAAAGGGTCTCATAAAGGAGAAACTGAAATGGCAGAAAAAGGGCATAGAGCAAGCACAGAAAATGAAAAAAAAAACCCTGCAACTGAAAAAAAACCTAGAGACTAAGACTTCATCCAGGAGAGGCTGCACCTGAATGGATGCTTTTACCAGCAGTAAGAAAAATGGTTGGCAAAAACCTTAGTCTGAGAATGTTGAGGATAAAAGAGAGAATAAGGGTATTTTGTCTGAGGGAAACATTTATGATCATCGTTAGTGCTGTTAGTAGTTAATAACAGAATGAACTACCACATGTATGCTACCATATTGGCCCCAGGATAGTATATTTTCAGTAAGTTGTTAGGTATTGTACACTATCTGAAAGTAATTTTTTTGTATGTCTTTAACATTTTTACATTTTCCCTTGTTGGCTATCTGTAGATCAGAAAATGGGATTAGAATCTCATAAAGATTTCAGATCAGCCCATGTAGCTTTATCGACAGCCTATTGCTATCAGTCAGGTCAGACTTGCACTGAGACAAAAAAGTAGTAAAGCAATTCCTATATTGAACTACTAAGCAGAAAGCAGAGACTTGCATGCATAATGAGCAAATATGAATGTTCCCTGTACCAACTGAGATAGATAGAGAGCTACATGTTTTTTGTTTTTCAAGCTGAACTCCAGAAAAATCAAATACCCTCTGTTGTAGGGCTGCATTCACACTATAAAGGTTGAATGCTTGATTATATCTAGGGGATGTAGAAAGGCAGTTTTAGTTACCCAATCTTCCGCTCCCACAGGCTCCTCCATACTGCAAGACACCAGTACTGGCAACCTCTTTTCCCCTGCACTCCAGTGGTTGGATGCCCTCTGATGTCAACTAGATTGATGCAGGGCCTCTAGCCCTGGGGAAGCCAAGGAACAGTTCAATGCCAGAGCATGGTGGAGATATGTCTGTTGGGGGAGTTAAGGATTGGATGTAAGTAAAAGTGATTTTCCCATCCCCAATACATAAATGAGTGTTTAAGCCTTGCAGTGCAGGGGCAGGCCCACTTCAAGGGAAAGTTTTTATTTTATTGGAGGTAATCTTTAAATGTTTACACTAACCCTGAGAAGAAAATGTTTGCATTAAGCAAATCACTCCTGCATATACCATATATCTAAAACTGTAAATACACTAAAGTTTTTCTTTAAATTTCACATGCTGTCTGTGGGCATTCCTGGAGAAACCACTATTACATCACTACAATCAGAGCCACAGGATTACTGTATGTACAGTTCAGAGCCACAATTGTTTTTTTTCACTGGTGTTCATGGGAGCTATTTCCATATTTGAAGGACCGCTCTCGCTATACTGAATTATTTTTATAAAATTGTTTAAGCTAAAAGGATTTTATCACATATGTGGCTAAATATGTACAGAAAATGCTTTCAGATAATTCTAACATAATTAATGGGTGAGAAGGCATGACAGGTTAGAAAAGGAAGGATTTGCCAGGACCTTTTCATGCATTAGAATGTAGGACCCTCTGACAGTGATGGCTAAATTAAAATCCTGAAAGAGTCTACACAATCATATTACTTACATTGACCTTACAAATTATCAAAGAATCCTGTAATTGCCCAGCACTATCCTGAATCCCTGTGTTTCCTTTATAAATATCTGAAGTGCAAAATGGAAAGGTATACCAATTATATGCCAATGATATATGAAATGCATTTACTGGTTTCAAGGAGAAGAATAATTCTGGGAAGAGGACATGAAGATACAGAAGAAGCTGATTTATCCTCTCCTGTAAAAGAAAAAGAAGCAGCCAAGTAAGTTGTCCATGCTAAGCACTAAGATAATACCACAGGGATGCACAATTCATATCACCCGACGCCCGTTACATGAAATTCCGGGTGCTGGGCAGGAAGTTTCTTTTTAACATTTAGCCCTGCTGCAGGCAAGCAGTAGGGTTTATTTGTCAGATGGAAGCCACCCGAATGCTTCCTCACACCCCCTCACCCCTATGTATCCCGGCCTCCGCTTGCCCATCCGTGGGCCTGGGTTCAGCATAGAGGGTGCCATCAGGTAGAGGTGAGGAAGGCGCGAACACATGTCCTTCGCCCCATCTTGATCCTGACCTGGAAGTGATGAGTATGATGTCACTTCCGGTCCCCATTGTCCATTTCCCCAGCCATCAAGGCTGAGAAAAATTGTAATGCAATATGATCTGCGCTGCATTTCATTCAGTAGAGCAAGAGGAGACATGCAGGGTCTTTTTGACCCTGGATATCTCATTATAGTGAACCTGTCCCCAAAAAATCATCACATAGGGGACTTTTTGTCCCCATGTGATCAAAAATCTTTAATTGTAAAAAATTAAAGCTACACCCAAGCACATAAAATCATCCACCCAAAAAAAAAACATTTTGAGGCCCCCACCCCCACATATACGCATCTACAAACGTAAATCAGCTCATGGGGGGAGATCACTGATGGGGGGCACAGTCTCTGATGGGGTGCTGCTTTTGATTGAGTGCTGCTTTGAACGAGTGCGAAGCAGTTAAACACAGCAGTTGAACTAAAGCGGGGGAACTTAAGCAGCAGGAAGACACAACAACAGCATGAAACTCTACTGCATGCTGGACAGACTGCAAAGCAATCACCCTGGAAAACCTCTCTTACATACCTGAGTCCCACTCCGTGTACCTTTATATAATACACCCCCTCTTCTCCTTATCATATTACTATCCTCTGTTCCCAAATCTCATTTCTTTACCCCTCTGCTCCACCCCAAAATTCCACATCTCCCCCTCATTGCTATCATCTCCCTACTACTGCTCTCATCACCTCCCTAAAATGCCTCTTTCCACTCCTCCTTCTCATTTTCCTCTCCTCTGTTCCCAAAATCCATTCACTATATCCCTCTGCTCCTCCCAAACATTTGTATATTGTGTCCTCACTACTTCCTTCACCTCTCTACGGCACCCACCACCTCCTCCTATTAGTCCACTCTCCCACTGACCAGAACACCACCACTAGTAGTTTCTCACGCTCCTGCACATCCGCTCCCATGCCGCCTTTCTCACCCTTCTCCTCCTCCTAACCGCAGGGGACATCTCCCCGAATCCTGGCCCTCCACCACCTCCCTCACCCGCACAACACCCTCCCGCCTCCACATCCTGCCGCAACCCCCGTAACTTAGTATCTGTCCCCCTGCTCCCTAAAATCTCCCCCCCCGTTTTCATGTGCACTCCTGAACGCCCGATCAGTGAGCAACAAGCTTACCGCCATCCACGACCTCTTTGTTTCCCGCTCCCTCAACCTCCTAGCGATCACAGAAACCTGGATCCAGCCCACTGACTCTACCTCCTCTGCTGCACTCTCCTACTGAGGTCTCACCTGAACCCATTCACCCAGGCCTAACGGTCGTAAAGGTGGTGGGGTTGGTCTGCTCCTGTCACCGCAGAGCACCTTCCGAGTCCTCCCAAACCCCCCCTCCTTATCCTTCTCCTCCTTCGAGGCCCACTGCGTCCGAACTATTCTCCCCCAACCCCCTGAAGATTGCTGTGATATACCGGCCTCCTGGATCCATATCCCGCTTCCTGGATGACTCTTCCTCCTGGCTACCCTTCTTCCTCTCCTCTGAGCTACCCATCATCATCCTTGGGGATTTCAACATCCCTGTCAACCTCGACAACCCGGACACATCCCATCTCCTCCACTTAACCTCCTCCTTTGCACTTGCACAGTGCATACAATCCACCACCCACTCCAACGGTAATATCCTTGATCTCGTCTTCTCCGACCGCTGCGCTCCCCACAACCTCACTAACACCTCCTTCCCTCTCTCTGACCACAACCTGATTACCTTCTCTATCGCCTCATCCTCCAACGCCTACCCCTCCAAATGTCACACTATTATCCTACCAGCCGTAACCTCCGCAACCTTTCCCCCCTTTCCCTCCCTCCCTGCAGCTGATCAACTCCCACGACAGCATCCTCCCCCTTCTCCCTCCCCCCAACTACTATGACTGCTCTACAACAATGCATCTTCCAACTCTCCTCCCTTTTCCCAATTCTTCGCCTTCCACTAGTTGCCTTTCTCCACCCACACGCTACCACATCAGACCCCTGACCCTCCAGCCCTGGCCTCCCTGATCACAGTTCGTCTCCCCTCAAACGACACAGTCGTGCCCTGGAGCGACTGTGGCGCCCCAAATCCCTACAAGCCTTCACCCGTTACAAATCTGCCTTATCCACCCTACACCTCCTCCCTCCAACAGTTTCCAAACGAATCTTTCCTACTTCCCTCTTGTCCCTCATCTCCGCCTCCCCCCCTTCCTCGCCTTACACTCTTCCTCCACCCGCCTCTCTACTCTCGCAACCCCACCTCCACCCAGCACCTCCCCTTCCTGCCCTTGAATTGCCAATCACTTCAAAAACAAGCTCTGACTCCTCCTCTCCTTCATACGCCCATTCCAACACGCCTCTCACATCCGTCCCCTCTCACACCAGCTACCCCCTTCGCCTCTCCCCCCCCACATCTCCCATCGATAATTCCCCAGTGACTATCCCATCTGCAGTCAAACTCCCTCCCAGTCCCCCCTTCCCCCCTTTCATTACCCCCTCCCCTCCATACCCCCTCCCTCCCCCCCACCACCCTGCCTTACTCCCTCAACTTTCTAGCCCATCACCCAAACACCCCCTCATACTCTCCCACCATCCCTCACACCGCCCTTCAGCCCTCCCCTCCCGTCTCACTCCCATTCTCTCCCCTGATTGTTCCCTTCCTCCTTACTCTCCTCCTCCTCTATCCTCCCCTCTCTGATGCCCCACCTCACCCACCTGTCCCCCTTACCCTCCTCCCACCCCAACTCCCTCGACCTTCTCTATCCCCCACCTCCTCCTACCTCCCTCCCCCATCTTTAATCTCTTGCCCTCCCTCCTCTCGGCACCCTCCACCCTCGATCCCCCTCTGAGCCCTTTCGCCACTTCCACCCCCTATACTTAAACTTCCCCCCTCCCTGTCTTAATACCCTCCCCCAACCCAGACCCATCTCCCTCTTCAACTCCCCACCCTCCTCCTCCTCGCGAGCTTCCTCCCTCCCCCTCCTATCTTCTATCCCAACGACAACAACCTCCCCTTCCCCCCTACACGTCCTCCCCTTTCCCCCCCTACACTCCACCCCTCTTCTATCCTACATTTTTTAAACTCTCCAACGTCCACACCTCCCTTCCACCCTAATTTCCACCCCCAGTGCCTCCTCCCCTTGACCTCTCTGGCGTGCCCTTTCGCCCCAAGTCCTCCACCCCCCCCCTCCTCCTTTCACTACCGTACTCCCTTCCCCTCCAGAGATCTCACTCCTGTTCCATCCTGACCCCCCTTTTCTACCCTTCCAATCGTTTCTCCCCACTTTCACCGCCTGCCCCTACCTATACTCTCCCCTCCCCCTCACGTCCCCCTGCCTTCCTTGGGGTCCCTCATAGGCGTCTACTCCCTCCACCGAACTCCCCTTCTCTCTCTCCATCTACCCCCCTCCCTTGGCCATCCTCATCCCACCCTCACCGCTTTCAACATGCCTTTTCCCTCGACCCTCCATAAATCTATCCCTCCCCCCACCTCCCCCCCCACTCCCCCCCCTCACCTCATCTTCCTACTAGAGTCCACATACCCCCTACCTTCACCCTTTTCCACTTCCTTAAACTGACCTCCTCCATCTCCGCGTTTCTTTAGTCTCCCCCCATCCTTCCCTTCACCCCACCCCCCCATCCTATCCGCCCCTCGTTCTCCGCCTACTACTTCGCCCACTCCCCTATGCTCCCTTTCCGCCCCTCCAACCACCGTTCATCCCCCGTTCCCACCCCACACCCCCATTACCCCACACAACCCATTTGCACTCCCATACCTCTCCAGCAACATTCCAAATTACGCACGTTCCCTCCCCATTCCTCCCACGTCTACTCACTCCCCCTCCCCCCTATACCCACCCCCCCGACTCCCCTTCTGCTCCCCCCCCACCCTTCCCCCACTCGCCTCCCCCCTTCACACCGATCCCTTTGCTCCCCCAACTTACTCATCCACTCCCTCTTCCTCCTTCTCCGCCACCCCCCCTCCTCCTCTACCCCACCACTCCCTTCCCCCCGCAACCAGGATTCCCTTCTCTCTTCCCAATCCCCAACCTTGACTCCCTTCCCCCCCATTTTTTTGAGCTCCCCTCCTCCCATCCTCGACCACCTAACCCCTCCCACTTCGTACCTCCCAGCCTCAATGCCCTCCCCCTCCCCTCACCTCCTTTCTCCCTATTTCTCCTGCCCCTCCTCCCCCCTTGCCCCTCTCCATTCTTCCCAGTTGCCACCCATCCTCCCCGCTAACTCCCCACCCCCCCCCCCGTTCCGATTATCCCTACTCCTCTGTCATCCCCACCTCCCTGCCCCTGTCCTCTTCCCCCACTCCTTCCGGTTTTTTTGGAACCTTCCCACCCTAGACCCCTATTTCCCCTAACGCTTCCCCTTCTCCTTCCCCTCACCCTCTCTCCTGTTCCCACTATCCCCCACTCTCCCCCCCCCTTTTTTTCCTAGGGCCCTGACCTCCTTCCCCAATTTTCCCATTGCCCCACGTATTGCTGCTCTGTCACCGTTTTTTCCCGCTCACCTTTCTCAACTCCTTCCTTTCGCTCAACCATCTGCCTATCCTTTTCTACTGTCCCCCATCCCATCCTCGCCTATCTTTTCCCCCTCCATCCCCCCCTACCCCACGCTTGTTACATACCTCTCCCTGACCCCCTCCTCCCCTCTCACTCGGCACCTTTTCTACCCCTCTGCCAGATGT